TATAAAAGACACGTAAATGAATGAATGAATGAATGAATGAATGATGTCTAGGGATAAAAGGTATATATCTGATATAATAAGCATATCAGAAAGGCACCATCCTCATGCTCCCAAGCCTAGCTCTGGTCAACAGTTCCTGTACTAGCCCAGCCTAGCAGGTCAGAATCTCACCTCAGACATACAACCAAGGGAAGAAGAAGGGAAGTCCACATGTTGTGGTCATACTTAAAAAAAAAATTGAAAAAGAAAGGCCAGGACAGTATCCCTTCCCCCAAATTCACTAATCTATAAAATGTTCTCCAATGAGAATCACCTAGAAGAACCACAGAACACAAAATTTAAAAAAACAATCATAGACTTGAAAGTAAAGTAGAGCACTGAACCACTCATGCATAGAATATGAAAAGAGAGAGAGAAAGACAGACAGACAGACAGACAGAATGACCCAAAATGAAAGGAACATAAGGAACTTTGAGACACCATGAAAAGATCAAATCTTCAAATTAGAGGCAAAAAAAGAGAAGAACCTGGGTAGATGGCACAGACAGCACCAGCAACAGGATCACAGAAGGAAACTTCTCCAAGTTAAGGGAAGACATCTAGATACAGATACAAGGATCAGGACCAGAAAATAAACTCCCCACAGCATATTATAATTAAACACTAATTATGCAGAACAAAGAGAAGGCACTGAAATCTACAAAAAAAAAATTAAATTAAAAACCAGGAGCTGAATAAAAAAATAGAATAATAAAATAAAATAAACACAGACATATATAAATGGAAACCCAGCAGAATAACAGTTGAATTAATAAAACAGAAACAAAGAAAACAATATCAAGAATCAAGAAATATCACACACCATTAAACCCAGCATTTGGAAGGCGGAGGCAGGCAGATCTCTGTGAGTCTGGTCTACAAGAGCTAGTTCCAGGACAGGCCTCAAAGCTACAGAGAAACCCCTTCCCCACAAAAAAGAATCAACAAACAAATCTCAGAGTTGGTTTACTATAAAGTTGGTTACTATAGTAGGTTTACTACAGTTGGTTTTAATGTCAACCTGTCAGAAATTAGAAACATCTGAGTATGGAGTCTCACCCGAAGAGAGGTGAGCTTGAAGCTATAGAAAAAGGACCATCCAGAGGGAAATGAATGTAGAGGTGGGGGCAAATGAAAAACATAGAGAAAAAAAATCAAATGAACAAAGCCTTAGGATGCTGGGGGATAACACTGAAGGGCTAACAATCTAATCATATCCCAGGAAGAACATTGAAGATCAATTCTGTAATTCTGTCTATTCCGTTTTCAGTTACTGTAATCATGCTATTCTTAAGTTTCTCTCTCTCTCTCTCTCTCTCTCTCTCTCTCACCACACACACACACACACACACACAAACACACACACACAAACACACACACACACACACACACACACACTTTTGCTGTAGAATAATCCTCTTGTACACTGTAAAGATTGTCACTTGAATTGATTTAATAAAACACTGATTGGTCAGTAGCCAGGCAGGAAGAATAGGTGGGGTGACCAAACTAAGGATAATGGGAAGGAGGTCAGAGTCAGGAGTTGACAGCAGAGTGAGAGATGAGAATGCTGTACTGTAAAAAGGTACCAAGCCAAGAGGCTAAACACAGATGAGAAATATGGGTTAATTTGGGTGTAAGAATTAGCTGGTAATAAGCCTGAGCTATCAGTCAAGAATTTATAACTTATAGTAAGCCCCTGAGTCAATTATTTGGGAAGTGGCTGCTGGGTATTTGGGAACAGGTGGGCAGGAAAGAAATTTCAACTACATTTTTTGTTTTTGACAGAGTGTTTTTGTTTGAGTTTCTTTGTGTTGCCCTGGTTGTCCTGGAACTCACTTTGCAGACCAGGCTGTCCTCAAACTCACAGAGATGGCCTGCCCTTGCCTCCTGAGTACTGGAATTAAAGACATGCTCCACCACCACCAGCAATTTCTTTCCATTTTTTTTATCATTAATTTTACTTCAATTGAGTCCAAAGAAAGGGGGGGAAGAGGATGAGAAGCAGAAGCAAATGTCTGAAAAATTTTCCAAATTTTATAAGAATTATACCACAAATCAACTATTTTTTGTTTGTTTGTTTTTTTATTTTTTAGGGACAGGGCTTCTCTGTAGCTTTGGAGCCTGTCCTAAAACTAGCTCTTATAGACCAGGCTGGCCTGGAACTCACAGAAATCTGCCTGCCTCTGCCTCCTGAAAGTTGGGATTAAAGGCATGTACCACCACCACCCGGATTACATCACCTTTTTTTGTTTTTCAAGACAGGGTTTCTCTGTGTAGCTCTAGCTATTCTGGAACTAGTTCTGTAGACCACACTGGCCTCAAACTCACAAAGACTTGCCTGCCTCTCCTCCTGAGTGCTGCGATTAAAGTTGGGAGCCACCACTACCAGGCTCACATCACCTATTATTAAAGTATAAGACCCCACGCTTTCCAGTTTGGTGTAGGAGGTACTTCTATATTTGTGTTACTTTCATTGGTTGAATAAAGAAACTGCCTTGGCCTTTTGATAGGGCCATGCACTTAGGTGGGCGGAGTAGACAGAACAGAATGCTGGGAGGAAGAAGGAAGAGAGAGCTGAGCCGCTATGGAGCTGCCAGGTCAGACATGCTGAATTTTTCCTAGTAAGCCATGACCTCGTGGTGACATACAGATTATTAGAAATGGGTTGAATCAAGATGTGAGAGTTAGCCAATAAGAGGCTAGATATAGTGGGCCAAGCAGTAATTTAATTAATACAATTTCTTTGTGACAAGTTACCCAGGCAGGATGGAACAAAGGGCCCCGCGCTCCTTACTACACCAGTTAGTCATGATATGTTATAGTGAGAGATTCCACAGAGCCACTGCATCTTGCTTGAATTCTGGAGTGATAACACCTAGGCTTTGAACTACCCTTTGTTTAAAGTCAGTGATTCTTAGTTCTTTTGAAGAAATTTCAGAGCCTTTGCAAAACTTAAAGAGGACCTGGCAAACCAGGAGTTCTCATGGCTGAGAACTGCTTAGGCAAAAGGTTCCTTCAAACAGCTCCTAAGAAGAGTTTTTTTGTATTCAGAAACTGGTTTGCTAAAGGCTTTTATTTTGTTGTGTGTGTGTGTATGTGTGCAATAATAAAAGAGACTTTTGCAAAACCACAGCTTTCAGTCCATCAGGGGCTTAACCTCTTTGGTGCAGAGTGTCTAAAATTCATCTTGCAATGACCCTTTGCCTTCAAAAGACCCTTGTAAAACAGAACACTGACAGTATGTTATAAAAGTTGAAGACTGTTTTGTGTGCATTTGTGTTTTCAGGCACATGTGTGCTCAAACATACTAAAGCCAGGGAACAAATTTGTGTGTCTCATCAGATGTTATCCACTTTATTTTATATATTTTGTCATGTGAGCCGGGCAACCTGAAGTCAATCCCTAGGACCCATAAAAGATAGGACAGTCAACTCCACAAAGTTGTCTTCTGACATTCATACTCTGTTGTATGAGCACCCGACACACAAAACAGCTAAAAAAAATTTAATTTCTAAATTGTTATGTAAAATGGAGCCCATTAGAGAGGAAAAAGAGGGATCAAGGAAGAGGGGCATAGGAGGTTAATAGAACACACATGATATGAAAGTAGAAGAGGAAACAGTGGAGGTGGAAGGGTGTAAATGTTCTGAAGTCACTGAAAAGATATTTTTCTCTAAAGCTGTTTCAAGATGTGATAGCTAATTTTGTCTATTTCGTTGGATTAAGAAGCATCTAGGAAGTTAGCAGAGCACAACTCTGAGTGTGACTGTGACAGCATTTCCAAGCAGGATGGCAGGGAAAGGTAGGGAACATTAATCCACTAGGGAGAACATGGATGAGATAAAAGGGGAACCAAAAGCAAGTCCTCCAAAGTGCAGGCATTATCTCTCTACTTCCTGGCCACCAGGATGTGAGCTCAGCTCTATCAAACCTTCTCTGTCATGATAACCATGGGGCAAAATAAGTCATTACTCCCTTAAGTTGTTTCTGTCAATTATTCTGCTACAGTGATGAAATGGGTAGTGCTGAAAACTGATAGCAGGGCTGTTGTTACTGACTGTACGGTTTAGAATCATTCGGAACTGTTTTGTGGGGGAATCTGGAAAACCAGGCTAGAGAAGGTCAATGATGAATGCTTTAAGTAGAGCTTGATAGGTGGTTTTGATCAGTCACACCAGCATGCTAACAGGAATGAAAACAAAACAGACTATGGCAATGGTTCTCAACCTGTGGGTCACGACTGTTATGATTTTAGCCAACCAACATGGCTGGCACTTCTGGGTTCCAGGGCCACACATGTGCAGACAAGCCCTCAGGCAAAAATATTTAGCCACCCTGGGGACCTTAAAAGGCCCTACATGACCCAGTGCAGCATGGTTGCATCACCTATGTATGATGCAGCTATGTAAGCCTTTGTGCGCATTCGTGAGCTCCATCATCCCCTTGTGTGCATGAGCTAGGCAGCCTTTAAAAGCTGGACATGCCATCTTCAGCCATGTCTTTCTGCATACCGACTTCACCAGGCTTACTTATATGTCTCCTCTAAAAAACTCCAAAGCAGGTTTGTTGAGGAAGGGGGAAGGAGTGGGCAGGGCTTGTCTCTTAAAGGGACTGGACTGACCATTACAACAACCCCTTCAGGTCACACATATCAGATTTTGTTGTTTATTTTTCAAGACAGGGTTTTCTGTGTAGCCCTGGCTGTCCTGAACTCACTCTGTAGGCCAGGCTGGTCTTGAACTCCAAGACCCATTTGCCTCAGCCTCTTGAGTGCTGGGATTAAAGGCTTGTGCCACCACTGCCCAGGACATATCAGATACTTACATTATGATTCACAATGGTACCAAAATTGCACTATGAAGTAACAAAGAAACACGTCTTAGGGTTTCTATTGCTGTGATAAAACAAATCCCATGACCAAAAAGCAAGTTGGGAAGGAAAGGGTTTATTTGACTTACACTTCAGCATTGCTGTTCATCACCGAAGAAAGTCACTGCAAGAACTCAACAGGGCAGGATCCTGGAGGCCATAGAGGATGTGGTGCTTACTGAGTTGCTTACAGTTTCAGAGATTCTGTCTATTATCATGATGGGGAGCATGACAGCATGCAGACACATATGGTGCCGGTAGCGGACAGTCCTACATTTTGCAGACAACATGAAGTCAAGTGACACACTGGGCAGTGTCCTGAGCACAGGAAATCTCAAAGCCCACCCCCACAGTGACACACTTTCTCCAACAAGGCCATGACCACTCTAACAAGGCCACACCACATCTCCTAATAGTGCCACTCCCTATGAGATTATGGAGGCAAATTACGTTCAAACTATCACATTCCATTCCCTAGCCCCCATAAGCTTGTAGCCATAACATAATGCAAAATGCAGAGTCCAACTTCAAAATTCCCCATAGTCTATCACATTCTTAACAATGTTTAAAAGTACAAAGTTCGAGCTGAAGAGATAGCTCAGTGGTTAAGAGCACTGGTTGCTCTTCCAGAGGACCCAGGTTCAATTCCCAGCACCCACACGGCAGCTCACAATTGTCTGTAACTCCAGTTCCAGGAGATTTGACACCTTCACACCAATGTACATAAAATAAAGTTAAATAAATTTTTAAAAAGTCCAAAGTTCAAAGTCTCTTCTGAGATCCATACAATCTCTTAACTGTAATCCCCTATAAAATCAAAATTGAAAAAAAAGCAGATCACATACTTCCAACAAGTAATTTAACAGGATATACATTACCATTCCAAAACTTAGGGAAGGGGCATAGTGAGGAAATATTGAACCAAAACAGACCAAAAACCAGCTGGGCAAACTCCAAACTCTACATCTTCATGTCTGATGTCAAAACATTCTTCAGATCTCCAACTCTGTTCAGCTTTGTGGACTGCAACACATTTCTTTCTCTTGGGCTGGTTCTACTGCCTGTTAGCAACTCTCCTCGGCAGTTATCCACAACTCTGGCATCTCTAACATCCTGGGCTCTCCAAGGCAACCCAGGCTTCAACTTCGCAGCTTCATGCAAAGTTGAAGGCTTCCATTCAGGGACAACCCTGACACATGACTGGCCTCAGTGGCTTTTTTCAGGCGTGGAGGCAAATTCTATAACCCATTTCTTCAATCCTTACTCTAATGTGGCTGAAGCTACCAAGTTCTGCTGCTTGCTGGGGCTGGAACATGGCCGTCTTATTCAATTACATCTTCACCAGCTTTCTGTCTTTAACCACCTAAACTTGGCTGTCTTTGAACTTGTTCTGTAGACCAGGCTGGCCTCAAAGTCAAAAGATCTGCCAGTCTCTGCCTTTCCAGTGCTGGGATTAAAGGTGTGCCCCATCACATCTGACTCTAAACTTTTAGTTCCTTTTCATAAATTGGAAGCTTAGCTGAGTGAGATCGTGTCTTGGGGTCATCATTTCCTTTATTCCATTTCTTAATCTGTTTACCTCTTTGAACACAAAATTTAGCACTATTCCATTTCCTGGTGCTCTTTTTCTCCTCAAATTTTCATATTGTGATTTACCTTGATCAGCTTGCTCCTTGTCATTTTAAATCTTCATTAGAGTTACCACTAAAAAAACCACACAACAGTCTATATTAGGCTGTTTTGAGATCTCCTCTGCCAACACAATCAATCCAAATTTTCCAATTTAATCTCAGGCAGACTCTTTGAACAAGAGCAAAAGGCAAGTCACTTTCTTCACCAAAATATCACAAGAAAGATCCCTAGGCAACATACTAAAGTTCTTCTCTGAAAGCTTTTAAGTGAGCACCCCACAGAACTTCTGTCTGGGGGCCAGCATCAAGCAGCACAGGGCTTTGAAAAACATCCAAAAGAATTGGCATAAGACTTTTCTATCTGAGAGGGTTATAGGAAAATAAGCACTCACACACTTTTTTGATGGCTTCCTTTATTCTATGCTCATGTTTTTCTACAGCTTGTATACTCCAACAGAATCTTCCAGGCAGTACAAGAGTCAGAGGTTGCATTCTATTTCCCAAGTGAATGATTATAGGTAAAGACATGTTTTTCAGCTCCCTTACATGTAAAACAGAGTCATCCCAATAACCCATATAAAATATAACTAGATCATGAGCAAGCAAGAGGAATTTTCTCAGTCAACTCTTTTGTTGGCAGGCTGGAAATTGCAGTTACAAAGAAAGAATAAACCACTTAATTATGAAAGGTAATCTTTTTTTAAGATTTATTTATTTATTATGTATACAACATTCCTTCCATGTATGCTTACATGCCAGAAGAGGGTGCCAAATCTCATTATAGATGGCTGTGAGCCACCATGTGGTTGCTGGGAATTGAACTCAGGACCTCTGGAAGAGCAGCCAGTGCTCTGAACCTCTGAGCCATCTCTCCAGCCCCTATGAAAGGTAATCTTATAAGGAATTTTAAGGGAGTCACAAATGTAAACTTTTACATACATAAAAACAGTCAGCTGAACTTTTAGTACTCAGGGTACACACCCATTCATCAATAACAAAAAGCTGAGGTCAGGAATTAGTGTCAGAAATTAATCATCATCTTGATTATTAACCAGACCTAGCAAGGGAAGCTAGAAACAATCAGGCCGTTCTATATTCTTGACTCTGGCCTAACAAGTCAGACAGCTCAGCTATGTGTCCTTGCGAACTTTAGTTTGTTTTCTGGGGTTATTTATCTTAAACTATTAGCAAGGCATCTGGTCTAACTTGAAGCTACTTTAAAGCTTTCTTTTAGCTAATGGCGCATGACTGCCTCTTTTCAGCATTGAGAGGTTAGAGCAGCCTGGCCCCTGGACTCAGATGTTTTCCTTTCCATCATTAACGTGAGCTGCTCCTAAAGTGGAACTCGTAGACTTTATATGTATCCTTGTATTTATTTCTATTCATCAAAACTCTGTATAGGCTATCATTATTATCATCAAATTAGACAGTACAGCTTCAGGAAGGGCCATCTTCTTGACAATCCACAAGTAAAAATGCTCAGGTGATGTGGGACAATTCTGTATTCTGTCAATTATGTTTTAAATAAATGGTGATTGGCCAATAGCCAGGCAGGAAGTATAGGCAGGACAACCAGACAGGAAAGAGAGGTGGGGCAAGGAGAACAGGAGTATTCTGGGAAGAAGGAAGCTCCTTCTGCAATACTGCCCAGAACACAGAAGAAGCAAGATGTGACACCTGCCCCACTCAAAAAGGTACTGAGCCATGTGACTAACATATACTAGAATAATGGGATAAAGTTAAGTTATAAGAGTTAATAAGAAGCCTGAGCTAATGAGCCAATCAGTTTATATCTAATGTAGAACTCTGTGTAATTTTCATTGGGGCTAAATGGCCATGGAAACTAGGCAGGACAGAAACCCCAACAAGCAGGCCCTCATGTTACAAAATGGATGCCCAACGTGTGGACAACTGTATCCACATAAAGCCTGACAAAGCTTGGAAAGTAATTCTAGACAAAAAGAATAGAGTAAAGCATGTCTTCTTGGTAGCAGCGATTCCTTGGGTCTTCTCTGCTTGCTAGAGGCAAGCAAGTGCTCTCATTTAAGAGAGGCTTCCTGACTCAGCCTTAGCTGCAAAACCCTGCAGCTCTTTAAGAGGTCCTGCCAGGAAACAAATGGTGTTGATAAAAGCCGATCACATGCTTTTTGGTTTTCAGCAATAGCAGGAAAAAAAAAAAACGTGCTGTTTTAAAATGCCAGCTTTCTGGCCCATCCTGCCAGCGCAAACTCTGACTCTTTGAGGCAGGAGGTCCAGCTACAGAGAGAACATTTGAGTGTTGTTTGTGGAGACACTGTTGCAGCTTGCTTGCTGGCTGGGACCTTGAAATGCCAAAGAGTTGTGGCAATAAACATGGCCCCAGCCAGTACCTCCACTAGGAGGCTGAAATCTCAGAAAGCTAAAGAATGGGCTGGATCCAGCGATCAAAGCCAAGACTTCAATCCTACCCATATTTCTTAGCAAATTAAAGACTCATGTGGTCAGAAAAAAAGAGAGAGATATAGTAAAGATAGATTTAAAAATTTTTTAAAAAACCCTCTAAATGGTTTACTGTGTGTTAAAAATATATGCTGGCTTGGGAGAGAAAAGAAAAAGGTTAAATTCCTTAAAATAAAAAAGAAAGAGAGTAGTTGGGCGTGGTAGTACACACCTTTAATCCCAATGCTTGGGAGGCGGAGGCAGAGGCAGACAGATCACTATGAGTTCAAGGTGTGGTAGCACACACCTTTAATTCTAGCACTTGGGAGGCAGAGAAAGGTGGATCTCTGTAAATTCAAGGACAGCCTGGTCTACAGAGTTATTCCAGGACAAAGATATACAGAAACCCTGTCTCAAAAAGCCAAAAATTAAAAGTAAAAATAAAAGAAATAGAGGTTAAAATAAAGCCACGTAAAGATGAAAAATACACAGAAAATCTTGATACTGTATGTTATTATGCTCTCTTTGAACTGTTTCAATGCTGAGGAAGGATCAACAGCTGCTAAAAGATATTTGCTTATAAATGCTGCTAAATTAATCCAAGATAAGTATTTTGAAAATACATTTTGACTTCAAAATTTAAGTCAAAAGGTATGTTACTTTGGAGAAGAGATTTTGCTTTTGTTTCCACAGAAAATGAGAGGCTATGGATTCATTCTGAGTTAAGAAAAATCAGGTTTGATCAAGGAAGACCACCTGAGAAATCTCTGGTAGGAACAGATGTGATAGGGGAGTTCAGCCAATCACATTCTGTTTTGGGGGTGTGCCGCCCTTAGGCTAAAGCTTGCCTATAAACCTAGCAAGCGCGGTCCACTAGCTCTCTCTTTCGCCTGGCTCCTGCGTCCAGACGGATCATTTGGATTCCGGTGTAAGTCTTACTTCTGTTTATTAAAGCTGTATATTTTGTATTAAGATAGTCTGGGGACTTTTCATTACCAATCGCCCTGCGGCATCATAGATGGCCTGGATATCTGAGTTCTACATCCAGAACAGATTCAAGACTGCTGCCTAAGATGATCAAGACTCACAGGATACTCCAGTCAGGACTTGATAATTCTAAATTTTCTTTAAGGTCCCCATAAGATTATCAGCGCCCCCAACCAGCTGGAAGTAGCCCACATTACCAACAAATGGACTATGGATATTTTCCTTTGTTAAAAG